GATTCTAGTTCTGTTGTCCAATCCTTCAATCATAGCTGTAAGTGTATTTTTCATATAATATGATTGTAAAGTTAATAAAAAAAAAGCCGACACACTTTATTTTCTGTAATATTTTTTGGGCAAGAGGAGAAACAGAAAACATTTTTTTGAAAACCAGCACTTGAAGTTGGAGATATAGATGTTATGGATAAACAAGGATGGATACAGCATGATCTGCGTGGTGGGGGGGGGGGGAGTTGTGCTCTTCCAACTCTGGTGCAGAGTTGTGTCGGTTGGCAAATATCATGGATGGAAAGTGGAAAACATTGGAAAACATGCCTCAAGCTCTCAGAGCCAGCCTCGTGTCCCCGGCGCGGGAGAAACACGCGAGAAACTCAAAGCATGATGGGGGACAAAACGCAACACCAGAGAAAAACAAAGCGAATTTATGACTTGGTTGACCATAGTCGCCCAAGTACAGTAATTACTTTAATAGACAGAGCTTGTACTCGCGCATGCGCATGACGTCGAAAACCGTCCACGACATAAACAAAATGGAGGACAACTTTGCACACTTCGCTATGTTTTCACATACCCGGGTATGATTTGTACGGCGTATAATACTTGATGTAAGGCGTAAACTTCAGGCTCGACCACTTTCGTTTTGCTGCGGTCAGTCGAAGTTTTCATATAACTGTCATGCTCAACTAGTAACTTTTGTATATTGCGTTGAAATGGAGCCATTTCATTCTCATGTGCTTTCATATTCTTTTCCAAGCTCGATAATCTGGGGGGGGGGGCGGTAGCCCCCCCAGTTTTTTGGGCAGTCGGGCAAAATTCGATCAACAGTCGGGCAATTTTGGTTTGTAATAAAAATAAATGGGACAAATTCTGTCAATTTAGTAGGGAATTCAGTCGATTTTGTGGTCATTACTGTGTTCTTTGGAAAATTCGTATGATGTTCCGAAAAATGTTTGTATGTCCGGAAAAATTTTTGGACCCCTAAAATGGTACACTGACCGAAATTTTTTTGGCGACGGGGGGGGGGTGGGGGTGAGGTCACCAAAATAATTTTTCCGAAAAAATTTTTTCGGTACTAGTCGGGCAAAATCCGGAAAAGTCGGGCAAATTTCTTTCAGCCCCCCTAATTTCTTCCTTCCGGTACGCCCATGCTTGTCAAGCAACTTTTGATTGTTTTTCCGCGTTTATTCCCGTTTCCTAGAATACGAGGCCCCGATATATTGCGATTAATGAATAAGGTATATATTAATCCACGTTAAAACGCTAAATAAATTCACCTATAATTAATTTTGCTCACATGTCGTCTTCCCGTTATCAAATTTTCTTCGCCAGCAGTATTGGTCATAATGAAATTACGTTTATGTGTAGCCAAAAGTTGCTTGGCTGTTTTGCAGTAGATAAAAGTTATGGATGGATGTGAAAAGTTGTTAATACCACCATTTCATCTTCGAAACAAAATCGCTTGCTCCGATATTTTGTTTTTGTGTTTTTAGCAGTCTGCGTTGTTTCATGTTGCAGCTCCCCCCAAACAAATTCTATATCTTGCACGCCAAAAACTATGTACTCTTTCAATCAATTGGATCACAGAATATTTTTGAAAATATGACAACGCATGCTCAATTGCACAAAGTTTCCTTCATATATTAGGACAAAGTGGGACCAACCACCGGAAGTACACACCCTCTAAGCTGGTTTGTCACTATGCAGAATTTTGCGCACGCAGCAGAATTCACTTTTCTAATTAATTCCACCCGCGAAATCACAAGATAAAGAAAAATTCCGCTCCACGCCCAAAATTCTGCATAGTGGAAAACCGGCATTATGGGGACGCGAGCACGCGTCTGAAAACAGTATAATGATTACCTGCTGAAGAACATTCTACTCCTGCGTCTTTACTGTGTCCGCAACTCTTACTTTCCAATCCGTCATGAGAACAACTGCTCAAGCTTAGCTCACTCCCAGTACAAGCGACTTTATTTAACCATATTTGTCCAGTACCATCAGGAACGTCGCTTCCCAGGAGTGCTCTAACACCATATTTATAACCAAGTTGACGACATATAACCCTAGCATCATTTATATCCCAATTATTGTCGCAGATTGTTCCCCATTGTCCTTTGTACAATACTTCTACGCGGCCAGTACCTTTTGCACTTGACGGACCTTGCAACCTGATGGATATAGCTGTAAAATTAGTGATACTAAATGTTGATACTAATCTTGCTTGTGGGATATAATTATTGGGAGTGCAATTTTGGTCCACATTTATAATACGGTGCATAACATCATGCAGGCGTTAACTAGCTGTCTGTAGAAATACCACTGGTCCACTGAAAAACATTTTGAAAATCCATAGAATGGAAATTGTATGGACCTTTATTGGAAATAGAATGGATTTTTGATTATCCACAATAATTGTTATATTTCTATACTATGCATATAGTATCGAAATAGTATGGATAAAGGATTTAGTTTAGTGATGCAATTGCAAATCTCATAGCATGGATTTCACATTTTTCCCAATGGTCTGGAATTAAACTTATATTTGGTATCTATTGTGCCGGTTAAATGTAATTCCGAAATAAGATGCGCATGCATGTCTGAATAAATGATACAATCTATTTAAAACTGTATATTTTGAATCAATTTCTATCCATCTTCTGATCTTCATACTCATAATAATTTAAACCTTGCTTATCCCACTTCTGACAAACAACCATATTTTTGAGATCAGTGAGAGGTCCACCCATGACACCAATGAAGCATAGTCACGTGCCCGCGATTATTGATGAACTTTAGATCTCGCTAATGCTTTCATTTCCCCGGATGTAATAGTTTTATTTTTTGCTGAAACTAACAGCTGGTAAAAGATTTTACTGTGCCCAAATGCAATTTCTATCCATCTTCTGATCTTCACGGTCACTATTACTTGAGGTGCCTTATATGCGAAAATGGTATAGTTTTTGTAAAATTGAGCTACATTTTAACATGAAATAGACAGTTCCGAAATATCACATACTCGAACCGACCTGACCGCGTAGCTCAGTTGGCAGAGCATTGGGCTAGTATTCCAAAGGTCGTAGGTTCGATTCCCACCGTGGCCAGGCATATTTTTCAAGCCTGTCCGGTGTGGATATGCACTCAGAGTAACATCACATTGATCACAAGCAACTTATTCACCTGAGTACATTACACCAACACAGCAAATATCAAGAAATAGACAGTAAAATTTTTTTAAGTTTAATTGATTTGACTCTTAGTAAATTAATGCAGATTTCTATTACCTAGAATTTTTATCGCGATCCATTTTTCATATCAGTAGTAGTGAAAAACAATAAAATTAATCAGATATTATATACTTAATATTTTCGTGCCGAAACACATAGTGATTTGCAGATTGTAATATATACAGTAAGGTACTGATTTAACACACATATAACAACTTAATTTACACGAATTTACGAGCCGGATGCTTTATCGCAGAACATTTGTCTGACTAACAGTGTGTAACTATATACTTGATGGGTATTGTAGATGAAAATTGTCAAGTGGAAATTTATATACATTTATTAGACATAACCAGGAACAGAAGTGAAAAAATGCAACTTTAAATCCCTGGCAGGAATTGAACCTGCGAGCATTGGGTCTGATTTATATATATAAATTTCCACTCCACAATTTGCATCTACAATGCCCATCAAATATTTATTCGAGTAAGATGCTACAAAAATCTTGATATGTCATTGTATGCACCACTATCATGCACCTACTGCATGCATGAGCAAAAGAAATTTGAAAAACCTATCACATTTCCTCGTATGCAAACGAAACTCCATCAGCATTTATATGGGCTAGACTTAAACTTAGAATACCTAGGTAATATATATATATATATATATATATATATATATATATATATATATATATATATATATATATATATATATATATATATATATATGCTGGGTGTTGGTAATGATTTCTTCAGGTAAAAGTAAGCTTAAAAAACTTTAATAAGTTTGTCAGACGTTTCGCCGGTTAGGGCTTCATCAGTGACACAATAAGTCTATAAAAATATTCTATCCTATATATATACACAAGTCCACCTAATTATCGTTAATAAAACATACATAAATTACATGCGTAATGTGCTATGGATAATAGCTAGGTCATGCTAAAATGGACATAGTTAAAAAATCTACTAAAAAATTAGATAAGAGTTAAGTAAGAATTAAGTAATCTACAGGGTGTATCAAAAAAAGCGCAATCCTCGACTGAAATGTAAATTGCTAAACAAATAATAGACGAAAACGTTAACGTTTACATTCATTTTAAAGCGTAGCCATTCAGCTTTCTAACAGTGCATGGGTTGTTTCTTAAATTTGACTCATTGGTTCGCGGGTAATAATACTTTACGTTATTGCGATTGGAGATTAATAAAATTGAGATGGAATAACAAATCGTTCTCATGAAAATAACTGATTTTTTCATTAAAACAAACAAATGTTGCATTTTATTAAATGGATTGTAACAATAAGTATAATTACGGCTTTTCTTCCACTATTTTTAACTCAGTTTGAAACTTCAAATGCGATATAATTTTGGCTTGGACCATCTAAGCTGACTGACATCAACTTGCTATAATTTCTGTTTACATTACATCGCAATTCGATGACACTCTGGCTCAGACACCAGAATGTTTTGACGATTTTTAGCATTCGTTTAGGATTTTCAAACAACCTGGTCTCTTTTAAAATACTTTTAATTTGTTCTTACGTGGCTTTCCAGATGTAGTGACGACAACATTAAAGTTTAAAGAAGAAAATTCTAACATTTAAACCGACTAAACAATAACATAGTAAACTTGCATACTTAAACAGCAACTAAAAATGATAGGTTTTACTAAATCTTTTCCTGTGCAATTATTACTAGCATTGGAGACAAGGATAATAGTTTGTTTGAAAGAGAAAAGAACAGGCTTTGAAGTAAGCCTAAAAGCGTTTAACTAGAAATAGTATTTCGAAAGTTATTAAGCACAAAAGATGAATTGCGTTTATTTTGATACACCCTGTAGATGTTAAGAATACGGCCCACAAAACCGTTCATAATCTTGTCTGTATATTTACGAATTTCAAAGGCTTCGAAAATTTTTCGTTCATGTTCGTATCTGATATTTTTGTGGAGAATTTTCCAACTAATTGATGGGACAGTACGTGGGTCAATGTTATGGGTTTTAAGATGGATGAAAACCGTTTGTTTATCCATACGAAGATGCTCCTTTATGCGTGTCCGTATTGTTCTACTTGTCTCACCGACATAAACTTTCTGACATTGTAGGCAATTTATGAGATAAACAGTATTCTTGATGCGACACTGATTTGTTTTCTCTGAGAGTTTGCAGGTAACACAATCTATTGTACAGCTTAGCTTGTCTTTCTTCGGGGCGTATATTTTAGATATTGGTTGTCGTTCATGAAGTGGACTCTTATATTTTCTATTCCATGCAGTTCTTCGTGTAGTGGCTAGGGCACGGCGCTTGAATACCTCATCAATATAAGGTAATTTGAGATAGATATATCCCTCCTGATTGTCACGTTGTGGTTCGGTATGCAATGTTTGTTGTATTACTGATCTTACAAATTGTTTGGGGTATCCATTACTCGTAAATATTGAGGTTACTTTACGTAATGATTTGTTTCTTTCGGTGGAGTCTGTCGACCGTGAAATTGCTTTCCTTACCTCTCCTATGAGTATAGATCTTTTGGAGGCTATCGATCCGTGACTGTCCCATGGGGTAATACATGTGCTATGGATGGGTTTTACATATAATGTGGTAGAAAATTTGTTGGTAGTGGCGTCGAAGGAAACTAAGGTATCTAGGTATGGCAATTGATTGTTAATGGGAGATTCAATAGTGAACTTTATGGCATCATTTAGATTGTTGGCCATAGACAACAGCATATCGCCAGTTACTGATTCAGATGTCCATGCAAGAAAGATATATATATATATATATATATATATATATATATATATATATATATATATATAAGGTTTTCAATTTCCTCATGTATGCGGTGTCAAGTTGATCTGTGGACGGGTCAGAGAGATTCATTTTAGGGCCTCCACAGCTGGCGAAATGGTTGTCTACAACTTTGTTGTTGTCAACGACAAAATGTTGTCGCCCACTAATAATCGGTGTGTGATAAAAGTTCTCGACAACAAAGTAATTTCCCCTTTTTGAAAGGAAACTTGACTTTAATCAACAAATCAATATTTTCGACAAAGGCGTTTTTCTAGTTTGTGGGGAGGAGCTAAGAAAATTAATAGTCGACAAATAAAAGTTGTCGATAACAAATTGTCATGGACAACAAATCACTCTAGTCTGCGGATACTCTTATAATATACTCGAAGAAGAACAAAAATAGAATGTTGTCAACCCTACTTCAAACACTCATAAATAATTCGTAAGCTTATTGGCAAATCATATCAACCATAATATATGTTACGTGAAGGGGCTTTATATACCTGATAAAACTCATCTTCATTAGTATAAAAGTCTATCCTAATTAGTATTCTTTATATAAAGAATACTAATGAGACAGCATCTATTGTAGTTGTGTTTGAAGTTATTCAAAACAGTTGTAGTCGTGCTTTATCATATCTAAAATGCTCGTGCTGCGCACTTTAATTTAAATATAATAATTAAAAACACTCCTATGCATATTTTAAATAGTACTACAAAGTTCTGTTCATATAGACCGAATACTAAAATACATAAATGCCATCACTGGTCTTCCGTGCAGCACTGATGTCGAGGAATTGTTCTTCTTTGCTTATCCTTTCTCTTTAAAATTCAAAATTTTGGCTGACAGTTTCTGCTATCATTTATAGAGGATTCGATTCGATTCGCCAGGTTATTTCTACAATGGATAGGTGGGCAGAACCATTTTCCAAATTTTATAAACCCCCCCCCCCCCCCCCTTCATTACACATACCTAATAACCGTTCCCTTACTTTCTTGCACAAGGATCGCCTATTCCAATGCGGAACCACAATATTCTTCCCCACAAACTTAAACCCCATCGTGTGTCAGGACAATTGTATGCATGATTCGAACACTATCTGAGCGGTCTTTGTCAACGAGTTGTGGTAGATGGAGTTGCATCTTCCTGTGCACCTGTAATATCTGGTGTGCCACAAGGAAAGTATCCTAGGACCTGTTTTGTTTGCGATCTTTATAAATGATCTTCCTAATGTACTACCAAACGAGACCTCGGCAGCAAGGTGCTGACCATCACACGAAAAAAGAGCCCCCTCAATCACTGGTAAGGCTAACAAGATGCTTGGGCTGCTGAAACGAACTTGCCTTCTTTTGAGAGACAAAACATTACAACGAACGCTGTATCTCACGCTTGTTAGATGTCAGCTATGTTACGTTAGTGAAGTCTGGTCTCCACACACTGTCAAACTCAGGTCTAGAGTCGAAAGCGTCCAAAGGAGAGCCACAGCGTGGATACTACAATCCAAGCATGGCGAAATGACATATCAACGACGGCTAATGAATCTCTACTTACTCCCCCTCTGCTATGAAAGAGAGATTTCTGATTTCGTATTCTTCTTCAAGGCTCTCTTTGGCAACACAGATTTGGACGTCAAAACCTTTGTATCCCTTTGTATCCTTTTCCAACAACAGTTGGACCCGACTCTGTCAAAATCCCTTCCTCACCCTTAAAGACCCCCTTCGTAAATCCAACACATTCAAAGCATCCTATTTCGAGTTAAAATAGGGAACTATACCTGTAACGTTCTACCTCCTACCACCTTCGCCACCCTCTCGTCGTTTAAAAGAAACATTAGAATGACGCAAAAATACTTGCTTGGGACAATGTTCGACATAGAAATGCCATGTACATGGTCATTAATGCGTGACTGTCCATGTCATAGAACTTAGTAAATAATTGTGTTTGATGTTTGTGCTGTTTTGTATTGTATTATGTTCTATGTTATTGTTTTTTAATAGTTTTAGAATGGTAAGCACCTTGCATGGGACTTTATGTCTCGTTCGTGCTTGATATTGTCCATTTGGGTATTCTATTTCTATATAGAACTGTCGTGTTCAAAACTTTGTAGAATTCTCAATAAAATTGTTAAAACTTGAATCTGCAGTGTATTAGTGAAAACGTCAGAACATTCTAATGCGGTGACATTGAAAAGTTTGATCAAGATGAAGTCTTTTACTATTAAGTCATAAACTGGTACATGAATGACTCAAATATTAAATAATTGTACCAATTAACCTGTGCAAGGTAAGAATTTTGAGCAAGTCAATTTTGTAGATTCGTTGTCAGTGTTGCTAAAGGTAATCATGAATGCAGTTTGCTTCTGGAATGTTTATCATTATTAATTTCGGCAATTTCGCTGTTCAATATCTCTGTTTAATTAATTTCGATTATTTCCGAAGAACTAGGCTTACGAAGAGTCACGAAGGTATTCCGAACGTTAGGGTAGCCTGAGCCGATGTTATTGTGTGCCCTCCACTTTAAAGAGGCTGTCAAGTCCGTTCTGCTCATGCGCGTGTTTTGTTTCATTTTTTGTGTCAACCAATAGATAATTTAATTAAAATTCCGATCTATTGGCCTCCAAGTTAGCCATTACACATTCAGAATATATCACGTAGGAGAAATTGAACTACTGAAGCAAAAATTTAGCCCATAAACAACAAATTTTAAATCAAAAACGCTAAGAAGCGCTTCTTACAGAGGTATGGACGAAATTTGATTGAAATTTGTACACATTTAGCTCCAAAATGACAAATTTAAGGTTGAAAATGTTAAGAAACACATCTTTATACAAAGGTATGGACAAAATGTGTACAAATTTCAATCAAATTTTGTCCAGACCTCTGTAAGAAGTGCTTCTTAGCGTTTTCGATTTAATATTTGTTGTTTTGGGGCTAAATTTTTGCTTTACTAGTTCAATTTCTCCTTGTGATATATTCTGAATGCGTAATGAGCTAACTTGGAGGCCCACAGATCGGAATTTTAATTAATTATCTATTTTTGAAACAAAAATGAAACAAAACACGCGCATGAGCAGAATGGACTTGACAGCCTCTTTAACTTCCAATGCTTTGTTTTTCAAATTTTTATGCACTGCAGCTTATAGTACTCTGGAAATTACACTTGTCTTCATCACAGTTTATTGCTTATGGTTTGGTTAGGTTGCACAATGACTATATATCTAAAAGTAGGATAATACAGGGTGTATAAAAAAAACTGAACAGATATGAATTTGCTCTCAATTTCGCAAAACAGCTATTAGTGTGCAGTTTTTGATGTATATAACTTCTTTGGGTATTTATAATGTAGAATAACAAAAAAAATTTCTCGAACTCAAATTTTGTGAACCAGGGGCGTGTGTCTTTTCCAACAAAATAAAAATGGCTTGCGCACAAAATTTAAAGGCTTTAATCACATTTTGAGTTAATAGATGGAAAGTTTGTTGGGATTTTAATTACTGTACAAAATTTAAGACAATTTGCTTTAGTTTAAGCCCTTTAACTATTCATTTATTCCTAACAAATCAGCCTTTCGCATGCTTAATTAATGCCTTTACCTAATTTGCATATTGCTGACATATGTAGTAAATTAGGCAAAGGCATTAAAGCGTGCAAATTGCTGATTTTTAGGAATAAATGTAAGTTTGCGTGAATAGTTAAATGGCTTAAACTAAAGCAAATTGCCTGAAATTTTGTACAGTAATTATAAAATCAAATTTTCCATCTATTAACTAAAAATATGATTGCAGCTTTTAAATTTTGTGCGCGAGCCATTTTTAGTTTGTTGGAAAAGACACATCCCCCTGGTTCACAAAATTTGAGTTCGAGAAATTTTTTCATTATTCTACATTATAAGTGCCTAAAGAAGCTATATATATATAAAAATCTGGATACTAATAGCTGTTTTGCGAAATTGAGAGCGATTTCAAATCTGTTCAGTTTTTTTTTATACACCCTAGCTGTAGTAATCAGTTAATGCTCTTCGGGGTAAATTTTGTTTTTGATCCTCCTCAGAACCAAAAACTTATTTACGCCCAGGAACATCAACTCTATTTTTATAATAATATTTACCTGATGAAGAGCATTCTACTCCTGCATCTTCAACGTGCGAGCAATCATGAGATCCCCATGATCCATGATCACAACCACTCAAGCTTTTCTCACTCCCAGCACAAGCGACTTCATCTAACCATATCTGTCCAGTACCATCAGGAACATTGGCTCCTTGAAGAGCTCTAACAGCATATTTAAAACCAAGTTGACGACATACAACTCTAGCATCTTTTATATCCCAATTATCGTCACAGATTGTTCCCCATTTCCCATTGTAAAATACTTCTACACGACCAATGCCATCTGATGGTCCTTGCAACTTGAGTGGTACACAAGTAACTGGAAAAAATAATACAAATATGATTCAGTTTCGACCTTTCAATTACGGTGCATAACATCATGCGTAGTTGGCTAACTGTCAGTAAGCACATCATGGTTTTAGAATTATAATTTTTGTTAGTTCTCAATCGTCTGATAAACATTTGAAAGTTTGGTGGAAATTTATTGCTTGAGTTATTTACAGTCGTGCAAGCACCGTTCCAAAACATCTTCAAGACTAGGAAGCAGAACAAATTAGTCGCTGGGGAGAGCGACTATAAGTTTCGGTCGGCCTTTTTTCCAATCTCCAATCTCCACGTTACAAAATGGAATACTTCTGATCATGTGAGCATCAAAATACAGTTTATAATAGTCCATAAAGGCTGTTCTGGAGGTGAAAAAAGCAAATACATACACAGGGGAGTAGCGTATGAGGGGACCAAGTGCGAATATTCATAAAAATCAAACATATGCGTGTTTTTGCTGTGTTCACTAGGGGCCGGTTGTACGACGGGTGCATGAACAGCGTTATTCACCTAATAGTCAAATTTTCAATCGGCATCGAAATGCTTTAAAAGCTATAAAAGTATTGATATAGAACACAAAGATAATACAAGAAACTCCAATTTATTAAATAATAACACTATGACTTAATTTGGGTTATACCAAAAACTAGCCAGTTTTAGAAGGCTTCAAACAATCGCTACCCGTGGCATAGCACTATCCATAGTCTATCAAGATATGATGGTCTGGAAACTAAACAGCAGTGTTTGTTTATATGTTTTTGTCTGAGTTAATGTTAATTTGTGCACGGTCACGGTGCAATAGGGATAGTTAAAATGAAACGTGCAACCACGATGAATAATATTTAATGAAGTTGAAACAAAGGATTTGTCATTTGTGCACGGCGAGATGCAGTTCAGCATCAAACAAAGGCCTTTACAGAGTGTATAAAAAAAACGCAACCTCGTATTTTCCGAAGAAATCGACATTGTTTTCAGGTCAAAAGATTTTAGGTGCCTGGGGATTTAAAATAGCACAACTGTCAAAATCTACGGCGAGGTGAAGCTGACCTGTCCTCAATAATATTTATTTGTTTCGTTTATATATTTTTGTCTACCTGTTAGTCTTTGTATGCTTCATGTAACTTTAATTTGTATATATTATTTGTGTAATTAGTTAGTTAACACGCCTCTCGTGAAAAACAGCTGATGTTGATGAGGCTAGCGTGTTAAAATAAAGTATTATGTATGTATGTATGTATTCCGGAAAATGAAAGCGAAGCCTGGAACATGGGCGGGCCGATAGCGGGAAGTGCAGCGGACCTGAAATTATAGTGTACCTGTGACAACGCGAATTACCGGGAAGAAGGACGACATGCGAATAAAGACTCAATGCGAAACCGACGTTTGGAGAGCTAGAATAGAACATTAATGCGAATCACTGCGAAAACTGACGACGATATGCGAATAGCGATGCAAATGTGAAAAATAGGTACGCAGTGCGTACATGTTGCATGCCTTCTGAGACTTATGATGCGCTATAGCACTTATAACCTTTGGTACAACTGGCGTGAAACTTAAAATATTGATTCAACAAGTTTAATAATATCACAATATTTATTGAAAAATAGCTTTTATGTCAAAATAAGAAACTTAAGATTCTCACACGAATAGGCAATGTTTTTATGAGCGACCGTTCATCGTTAGTTGCAAGCGACGGAAATAACAAGGTCAAGGTCGGCTGTCGCCTCGTTGAATGGAACATTCCATCTTTCACCTCATGAAAATATTCTTACCATTGCACTCATAAACATTCATTGTTTGTATAATGATTGAAATTGTCGAAGTAGAAAAAGCATAAAGGTACTAGTCAGCTAATATGACCTGTATGATCGTTTGAGTGATTGAAATGAGTTAATTTACACTATATCGAATGTCATGCTGAATGTCATGTTGAATCTTATGCGTATGGTTGCTATTTCGTTGTATTAAATTGCAATACTATTTATAATTCAAATTTTGTTTGATATTTATTGTATATTTCATGTTATTTAGAAAATGTGCTATAGTTTTGAAGCTTTGCACAGTATATAATTAGTGCGAGCACAATGGCTCCGTTTCAGTATATAAAAAATGAGTGTTTTGATAGCGTGGGCTTTGAGGCTTTCACGATATATTAATATAAATAAACGCCTGATAATCAGTGCGAGCACAACGGCTCCAAAATCACAACAAATAACAAAATACAAGGTAAGTTAAAAACAGCAAAGCTTTACCTACCTCGACCTATTTTCTAAAGCGCTCAATTATGTAAATTTTCGGCAAATAATCAATATTTCTTTGCGTTTCCTCGACGAAAACTCAGCATGAAAATTCTCGTCCGAAAAACTCGGTATTACTCGTCTTTTACGAATCTGCCACGTGACTGGTACGCTCACCACCGCTCACCGCGACACGAAATTTAGAGCTATATGAAAGTTGCATGCCATATATGGCATGCAACAAAAACGAGGGAATACAACTCTAATATTACTGCGAATCACTGGGAAAAACGGGAACCTAACATTAATGCGAATCAGTACGTAGAACGAGGACATGCGACTAGCGATTCAATGCGACAAACAGACGTAAGACGAAGACAACATTAATTCGAATGACGGCGAAAAACGCAGATATGCGAAGAGCTGGCGATTCCAATGCGAAATCCGACATACATCGACATACCTATAAGGCGACTTAATGCGAATCATTGCGAAAAACGAAGACATGCGAATAACAAATCAATGAATAGTTTAATTAACGGAAGCGAACTATCCAGACTGACTTAGCAGTCTCTCGAACTCGAGAACGGAATTCCTAAAAAATTAAATACAGCGGGTGAAGCTTTGGCATAGCCGTTCTTGGGAAACAAATAAGGCACGATCAATCCAGATTTTCAAAGCAAATATTAATCTTTGATTCTGTTGCTAATTGTAATGTATGGGTCACATGCACCTCCTGTATTCAGCATGCACTCTTGTAAATAGTTTTTCTTTGTCTCTACCTATTTTCTTGTACACCCTTGGTATATAAATTGACGACGCCCCTCATGAAAACCAACGTATGTTGACGAGGCTAGCGGCTTGACATAAATGTTTACGATATGTATACGCTGAGACACCGACGTAATGCGTATAACATTAATGCACGGATAATATAACATTAATGCGAATCACTGCAAAGAACAGCGACACATGCGAATAACGAACTGATCACTGCGACACCGACGTATTAATGTAATGCGTATAACATTAATGCACGGATATATAATGGTAATGGTTTATTAACACATTTAGTAGTAGTTACGCTAATTTACAATGTGTTTACAAATTTGGGTATAAAAAGGTATATATTCTATATATTTACATGTCATTCATTAAAATTAAAGTTTTACTAATATATATCTATTTACAATATGTATAAAAACTACTAATGCATACCTATTTGTACATTAACTGACAAAATTTTAAAAATGATGACCCTAATCAACTAATCTAGAATTATATAAGTATATACAGTAAACTAAAGGACTGTGTTTAAAACGTTCGGTTTTAGAGGGGAAATTATATAATTTCTGACTGTTAGTTCTTGTTTCTTTTTGCCTAATGTATTTTAGTTTCTTTGGTAAGAGGCTATGAAGTTTATGGTTTGGTTCCAGCATTTTTTTTTATTAGAGATACACATAATTCGTCCCTACGTTCTTCCAAAGTTTGTAATTTTGACTCAGTTATTGCTTGGTCGTAGTCTAGGTTTGGGTAAATTATTCTAAGTACTCGTTTTTGAATTCGTTCAATGCTCTTTTTCTGCTCTTGGGTTAGACCTCCGTTCCAAATCTCTGCGCCGTATTCTAAAATAGGACGAATTACTGAACAGTAAAATGCTAACAAATCATCCATGGGGGCACCATAACTCTTCAAGATCTTTAATAAATACAGACGCTTGGCCGCTTTCTTTGTAATATATTCCGTATTAGTTTTCCATTTAAGATCGCAATCTAACCATATTCGCAGTAACTTATATGACTTCGTTCGAGAAACATTATGACCACCAACATAAATTGGGGGTATAGGGGTTATATTTTTCCTAATCATCTCCATACACTTTTTATAGTTTAGTTCCATTCCTTCGTCCTTTGCAAACTGTACCACCTTGTCTACGTTCATTTGAGTATTACCGATTGGGATGCCACCTAAAAGATCTCTGACATTGATTACTTCCGATAATGTTGTGTCATCCATAAACATCGCTACGTCCTGGTCTACTACGGCATTACATATTTGATCTTGGTTATTGGGTATAATAGACGTTGGTAATTGGTTTATTTTTATTATAAACGCAATAGGACCCAACTTACTCCCTTGTGGGACGCCTCCCTTGATTCTTTACAATCAGACTGTTCTCCATGGAAAGACGTTACTTGTGATCTGTTATAAAGATATGATGCAAACCAACCAACCACAGCCGGACGAACGCCGATTTGCATAAAATTTTCTAGCAGCACATTATGATTGATCAAGTCAAATGCCTTTCGAAAATCAAGAAACGTAATACGAACAATTCTTTGGGAGCTTTCCATTGCCATATGCCATTTATGTAACAAATAAATCAACGCATGTATTGTAGATGTTCCAGGCAGACCGCCAAATTGACTGCTACTGATTTTATCATAAACATCCTCATAAATCCAATCATTAGCGTATGATTCTTGTACCTTTGATAATGTACTCGTTAATGAAATAGGTCTTAAAAGGTCTACCCTAGAACAGGGTTTACTTTTAGGAATCCCACACACCCTCGAAATTTTCCAAATATCTGGGAATACTCTGCAAGTAAATGATTCGTTAAAGATGTAACATAACGGCTCGGCGAAGTATTTTGCGAATGTTTTTATTATCTTTACATTCGGGTCGAACGGACCGCTTACTTTATTCGGGTTAAGTTTACTTAACTTATTTGCTACACTATCTGCGGTGATGTTCGGTAGTTGTTCTTCCATTCCAACATTAAACCAGCTATCATGTACTTCCGAGTAGTTACTAGTAAGACTAGTAAAATATTCGTTCATCAGATTAGCTGTATCTTTTGAATTTAGTGGGGTATCAGACTGTGGGCTATTTAGAATAAATTCCTGTTTACTCTGACCAGTAATGTTTTTTATATTTTTCCACCACTGCTTTGAATTGGAACAACGAGCAGGTTTGATTTTTTCACTGTAATATTTTTGCTTCTCTTTCCGAATTTCTGAGGTAATTTTATTACGAAGCGATCTGTATTCTTCCATTCTCCCTCGTTGGTACATTTTATTTCTGTTAGATATCATTTGTTTAATCCTCCCAGTCATAAAGGGTTTATCATTTTTATGAACCTTGACAATTTTTGTTGGAAAACAGTTATCAATCATTGCATTAGTAATCGATAAAAAGGCGTTCACTTTGGTGTTAATACACGAGGCCTCGTAAACCGCTGACCACGTCTCTAGACCGATACAGTCTTCAAACAAGCGCAACCTCGTTTCTTTAATGGGTCTCACTGTAATCTTTTTTAGCTCATTTTTACCTTGAGCTTGTTCTTTCGATTTCCATATAATAGCGCTGTGGTCTGAACAGCCAATCGGTGCCAGAGATACTGGTGTTTCATAAAACGATTGTGCATTGGCCAGGATTAAGTCTACAATTGCGTTACCTCTGGTTGGTGTTCTGATTACTTGTTTTAACTTACAATGATTTTTAAGGACTCTTTCCTGAAATCCATTACTTAAGGGATTAAAATCCCCAGTAATAATAATTGATGTATTTGGACTCTCGCTAATAAGAGAATCATAACAATAGCAACAATATTCATAAAAACTTTCAACTGCTTCGGTATTCATCGACGGTGGCAAGTATACACACGCAAGTGCAAGTTTTGAAATTTTTTGTGGAAGCCATTTTGGTCGGAGAGTAATCCACAGACATTCATAGTCCGAGTTGTAAAAATCTGGGCGAATTTTGAAAGGAAGTGATTCTCTTATATATACTGTCACGCCTCCTCCTCTTCGGGTTGGTCTATCTTTCCTAACTATGGTAAAATCAGGAATATGTAAGGCCTCATTCGGAATAACATCCGTAAGCCAGGTTTCAGTAACCATAATTACGTCCGCATTTTGTTGGTTAATTATAATCATCATGCAGTTCGTCTATTTTGTTGAAAAGAGATCTAGCATTAAAAAGCAGTATATTTGGTAAAATATGTTTAATATTCTGACGACTAGGTCTTGAAATCGGAATATTTACCAAATTATTTCTAGGTGCATTCTGCCTTGGTTTGTGTTTACTTGCATTGGGCCATCGCGGAGACATTCTGATGGGAATTTGAGCCATTATACATACGTTGAAAGGATTCCCTCTGGGGGGCTGTCGTTTCTACCGTCAGTAGATGTCAGTTTCCACGGTTTGCATTTCACAAACTTGGGCCAGAAGGTTTCGTTTTCAATCAAGGGGCATACATTTGCTTGGACATGAAGTTTAGCAGAAATTGAACCTTTCCGTTTACTTTGAAATAGAGATAAGTAAGTTGGTATTACCTTTCGCTTTTCCAAATAGCATAGAATATCCTGATCTTTAACATTGTCAGCAATCCCGGACAAGAAGAACTTTTTAATTCTATTTCGCTTTCGTTTAACCCCAATAAATTCATCACTATCATCAATTCGTTCATTCATTTTCCGAGCTGCAGGGACTTGCATAATATTGTCTGTATTATCCGTACTGGGTTTGCCATTAATCCTGTTAACAGGGGGAGGAGATTTTGCCACTTGAGCATAGGTTCTTGGAGATCTGGATTGTTTATCAATACTTCCGTCTTTATTTGCGCCAGTACTTGACTCGTTTAAATTAATGTAGGATATATCATTATCATTAGATTCAGGAACGTTCTCTTTCATAAGCGAAATGCGATCATTGTTATTGTTATTGTTATTGTTCATAAGCGATATTAAATTGATTTCAAAAACTCATTAATAATTCAGGAGCAAAACACAAAGAAAAATCATAAGCGTGTCGTGGTTTTATATGTGATAAAATATCACGTTAATTTACATAAACTTTAGCTTTGATTTTCTCGGTTTAGACAAAGTTTATTTTAAAAATTACTTCGCCAATGAACTCGTATAAGACGAGTCGTTTTTGAAGCCATTTAAAGCACTTGTAGTCGTGTTTTATCACATATAAAACACTCCGCTACGCGTCGTGTTTTATATGTGATAAAACACTCCTATACGCGTGCTTTAAATAGTACATAAGACATATCGTTATCATTAGATTCAGGAACGTTTTCTCTCATAGGCAAAATGCGATCATTGTTATTGTTATTGTTCATAGGCGAATCCGTCAATTTTTCCAAGACAAAGGAACTTTTAGTATTAGCAAAATTTACCTACTCAGTCTGCTTAACATCAGATTTTTCTGTGTTTTTACTAAAATTACTGTTATTCTTTACTTCATTTCCTTGCACTCGAGAAATTACAGACGCTAAATCATGAACAGACTCTGCAAGCGATTGAATTATTTCGCAGTTTAACATTTGTCCTGCTTTGAGACTTTTAATATCATCAAAATATGCATCGGTCGCCATGCTTGATTGTGTTTGCGATGGCGGGGTTGGCAAAGTTAAGTTATCTTTAAAGCATTACCTGGCAAATCTGTTTCTTGATTTCCTCTGATCTCTCACCATTAATGGTTAATACTTGTTTATTCTTTCGCCACACCATAGTTGAATTACCAAACGTAAGCAGCTTTTTGTCCCCTCCAGGCTGTGACCATTTGCCATCTAATTTGAGAACTTCGCTCGAGAATTGCTTAAGGGAAACAAAATCGCCTGTCCAAGCAAGACTTATATTCTCGATAAAACCTGACATTCTATCGGTCTTCCATCATTTGTATGTTTGTACCAATGGTGCATTAAAAAATTGTTCACAAAGTATTTTAAAATATAAAATTATCACAGAGCACAAAATACACGTCCGTCCACGTTATGTAATAATCATGGAAAATATATGTAATCTTCACAGTACTGCATCTAAAATAATTGATATGTCATGCTTCGTTCTTTAAAAGCATTGCGTAAATTGAATAACTGGAAATATTATATATAAATATAAACCTTCACATTTTAAAAACATTGTGTGAACTGAACTGAACTGAACTATACTAACACACTATAATCTTCACAGTAGTGGATCTATGACTATAATAATTCATATATCATGCTTCGTTCTTTAAAAGCATTGTGTAAATTGAATAACTAGAAATATATATTATATATAACTTTCATACTTTAAAAACATTTGATTGCGTTAACTTAACTGAACGTAACTACACAGCCGCATCTATAATCATTCATGTATCATGCCTCAATCATTCTTTAAAATCAAAAACATTGGCATTGACATTGCGCGAACTGAATAGCGAAGTGTTGCAACTTTTACTGAATACAAACTTAAGATAGAAGAAATAGTTACAAAGTGTCAAAGGAGACTATATTATATAAAATATAATAATTTAATATTAATTTAAACTGTTTGCAAACTTTAACTAAAAGGCCTTCAAAGGTATAGTTCACAAAGATTATATGGTTCAAATTAGTTTCATGCATGCATTCATCAGTTTCAACTAGATCCTTTTACTCTTTCAGATCGATCCATATACAAAAACGTTTTGAAATGTTAATCAAAATAAAACCATCTTCTCTCATGTTTAGTAATGTTCGCCATAATCCAAATTACTTGTTCCCTTCGTTTGACTGTTTTATTTTTATCTCCAAATGTCGAAGACACAATCCAATATTTTATCATTGTTGGCGGACAGCCACTGCCCATCAGGAACAGCACTAACTTAAAGCTAGATTACAGTCCATTCTGCGCATGTGCGGTCTTTGTTTACATTTTTTGTTTTGGATCCATTTCAATTGTATAATATGAAGTATAGCGGCTATGCACTAAATAAATGGAGTCCGAGTCAGGAGTGGAGTTGTTAATTTTTTAAAAATTGTCTTCTGAAAGACAAGCGATTAAATATTTTGAAAGATCATCAATGGAAGATATATTGTTGATCAATTCGGCATTTGTTTTTTGTGTGCCTCGTTGATGAAACATTCAGAAGAGACCGACACAGCCGAGCCAAAGGTGCGAGTCCGCACTCATTGTGTTGATTATATTAATGTTCGGCATTGTAAAATAAACTTTGAACTTCCAAAGTTTATTTTACAATGCAGAACATTAATATAATCAACACAATGAGTGCGGAGGAAGTGTCAAAGAAGGAAAGAGTCTTTCCTTGGGGTATTTGTTCGTCAAAACACATTGCCAGAGTCATTGTTGCTGTCATGGCAGAAGCACTCGGAGAAAGCTTTTCGCTGGAAGAATTGGAAACGATATGTTCATGTCGCGGCTTGCGCCAGCTTCTGTCTTCGATAGAGAGGGCGAAATTCCTGTCCCTGCAAAAGTATGGGTATTTTTTGCTCAAGCGCGTGCCACGAAGAGAATTTTGAATCATGTATGAACAATAGAAGGACAGATGGTGAGTTTGTATTAATGATAATTTTAGTTATGTACTGTTCGTCATAAACGTGCTTCACATGTAATCTTATTGTCTTGGTTCATTAGTTTATATATGTTTCGTTAGTTTATACGCAAAAAAATGGTGGCCTGAGCAATGGTTCATTTGAGAATATGTAATGTTCACTGTGATAGTCACTCAAAGGATAATGATTATCTAACAATAGCTGGGTAAACTTTGTTTACATATTTTGATAATTTGCCTGCCAAGAGTATATGCAGACATACATTTCTGAAAGCTTTAACCACTGGCTTTAACACACATGATTTGTTTTATTAAATACCCCACATAATCATGCATATCCTTGCCGGGTAAAATATCAAATCATGTAAAAAAGTTTACCTGTCTATATACAAGTCTACATAGGTGTGAAATGCAGTAATTTGGTGGTAAGAAATATCTGTGTTCCACTGCGCTTGAGTTTTTGCATTTAATTAATGATAAATATATTAATTTCAGACTCTTGTGGTACATGTATAGCAATGGATTTAAATGCCCTTTGAAGAGCATTTGCTCTAGAGCTTATACAGCATCAGCCAGCAGCATTTGTCAATTTGGTAAATGGTGAATTGCCAGGTGAATCGCTTCAACCAGACCCAGCTACGAAAACCCAGAAAATGCCTCTGAGTATTGCAAATGTGGATGGTGTGTTGCAATGCCAACACAATTGGAAAATAGCCCTCTCTTCCCACAGTTAGTACTTGATGGAAATGTTCAATCTGGACCTGGCCATGCATTAGAGGGAAGACTTTTTAGTGTTAAATAATATTAGAAACAATGAAAATTTTGCCATGCTGCTCACAGACAATACGTACTCTGGCAACAACGAAGGTATAGGAAGTCGGAACAGGAGAGTGATTCCAAGCTGTTGTGTGACAGCAATACGGAGACAATATCCTTCTCCAAATGGGATATTCACTGGGTATCAATCTGCTAGATTGTAAATATTTGTTGCACATGTTTTTCTTATGTTATTGATCATTGAGGAAACTTTATTATTCATTAATCCATTTTACTGCAATTACCTCCCCATGACAGGGAGGATCATTTTAAATATTTTGACAGAACATGCGTAATTCACACCTGTTAAGGCCCGTTCACACAAGCGATTTTAAACTTTGATTTTCTCCTTTTGGCATATGTGTTTTAGCAAAATTACAGGAAACATTACTTTGCGTGGCTTGATTATTCACTCTAACACATACACCAAAAGAAGAAAATTGCAGTTCAAAATTGCTTCATACTTATTTTAAGCTTTCTCTGTCTACTAACCACAGCAAATTTTGCTGACAAATGAAAGACTTTATCATGTCAATGGGTTAAATCTTTTATGAACAATAATATTTCATTTTATAAAAGAAAACTTATCCAATGCATTGGATGTTCAAGCACAACATTAGGTATTGACATTGATTTTTTTATTCTTTAAATTAAATTACTCCTTGCTCCTTACTTCAGTCCTAAAAAGTGTATTGCTGTGCACCGAAGATCAATGAATCCAGTATGGACAGCCTGACTCACTATTGGGGTCCGGGAGTTTGTAATCAGAGTTCCTTCTCCTAGGTGGACTGCCTTTCAGGGATTACGAGCTCCACCTAACCAGAGCACTTTGTTTTAAGTGCCAGACACTTGTCTACAGTGATCAGTCGAATCTAGACTGATGGGTTTCAACAAGTTCTTTGACTGAAGGAGGAGGGACAGGGGTTATGTTAGGAGCAATTTTCCTTCGGTCATCACTTGCAACACCAATCTCCATACCTAAAGAAGTAAAGAAGACTTGTAATTAGTTTTATTCCTGTTTAAATGCACATTAGTGCCTGCTGACCCTTGCGAAAATAACTATATTATATTGCTATTTTAAAACTATTTTATTACTATCACCCCTATTTTTATGCTATTTTATTCAGAAGCAACCCTATTTTAATTCTATCATAATATTTCACCAAAAGAAAGAGCCATATTTTATTAATGTTTTATTCCTATTTTTATAGATAATAGAAATAAAATCGCATATTTTAATACTATTTTCCAGAGCTTCAGGGAAAAAATAGGTTTAAAATAGCCTATTTAAATTCTATTTTACTTCACTAAAAAGCAGTTAGAAATTAAAATAGATATAAAATATACTATTTTTAAACTCATAAAATAAAATAGGCTGTTTAAATCCTATTTTACATTGCAAGTTAAATGCACAAATTTCAAACAGGAATAAAATATACTATTTTAATCCTATCTTTCCTTCATAGTTAGTAAAATAACAATAAAATAGACTATTTTAAACATATTTTGCACGTGCAGAAAATTACATAAATTAAAATAGATATAAAATATAGTGTTTTAAAGCTATTTATTTTTCAGAATACGTAAAACAGAATAAAATAGACTATTTTAAACCTATTTCACATTTTAAAAATGCCACATTTTTCAAATAGGGATAAAATATACTATTTTAAACCTATTTACTTTCCCTAATTTGCAAAATAGAATAAAATACACTATTTTAATCCTATTCTACATTTACAGGAATTCAGGATTACAATTTGCAGATATGTATAAAATAGTCTATTTAAATTAAACATACTGAATTTTCCTACTTAGCAAAATGAAATAAAATAGAACCGTATTTTACATTTACACAGATAAGGGACCAATCATTAATAATGGAAGGGGGTGAGGGGCGGAGGGTGAGAAAAGGAGGAGGCTTCAACTATTGCGTACAGCGTCATCCCCACTGGTCATCCCATGCAGTGCTTCCACTTGCAAGGAAATTTCTTTGCAAAAAGAAATAAAATTTACTAGGAAACGGCAAGGAATTTTGTTTTCAGCAAGCAAATAAGGATATTACGTTATTTCTAATAAATCCTAAGATTTTTACAATTCCCAAGCAAATTCGCGTCAGGAAATGTCGAAAAGCCAAACTACTCTTGGGGAATGGAAAATCTGAAGAATTTCTGAGGCATGACCTCAAGCCTCCTGTTGCAGTTTTTTATAATTAATTTATAATTTATAATTGCAACGTTCATGGTGTTCTCGCCCGAGAAATACACTGTCATTCAAGATGAATTATTGTAATATCAGTTTTAAACTAGGTAAAATTCATCTTCATCAAAGGAATTTTTGTCAAAAATAAGGAAATTTTGAGCAGTTGGGAAGAAAATGATTTTTTTGAAAGTGGAAGCACTGAATTTACACCCCGCCATATTTTTTATAATCAGTTCGTGATTTCGAAGTTACAATATTTCGCTCGATATTTCGAGCCGATGAAGCTTTATTAACCGTGAATAATCGAAGGTAAAACATCAGGGATGATTGAGTAATGTCCAGGTAAGAATCTTGTTATGTTTTATGAATAATAGAGCAATTTTGAAAGGAAGTATTTGCTTTTTTCATTCGTGAATTTTGAGAATGCACGTGTTTGATGACCTCTCATGTTTCGGCTTAAAATTTGAATTTGCCGCGACAATTTCGAAGTAATATTTCGCTCGATATTACGAGCCGATGAAGCCTTAATAAGCGAAGATGAAACATCAGGGATGACTAAGTAATATCCAGCTAAGCATCTTGTTATGTTTGTGTATAATAGAGTAATTTTGAAGGGAAATATTTTCTACGTGTACAGGAGAGATTGAGTGGGAAAAAGCTGGAATTATTGCGATGGAGAAGGGATTGAGGCAAAGAAAAGCAAGGGAAGGAATTGAGTCATTGAGAGAACAACAAAGTGGGAGAGAGACGTTGAACAATTTTGAACAATTAGCAGAGTGGCGAATTGTTTTAAACAGTTATTTCAAACAGGAAATGACTAAGATGCGCACGACATCACGCGCGCGCAAAGATCACGTAGGTTAAAGACACAGTTTGTGCACGTCATTGTTTAAAATTAAAAGTTGTAGTTGGCCTGACGACGAGCAGTCAAACTGCTCGAAACGTAGCAAATTAAATAAAATATTAAACTTCAGAATCGGAATTCCTGAATTTAGTTTACAAAATAAATGTTTATAATGAACGAAGGTGAAAGTTTTAGAAGAAGAATTAAAAATTATTCAGTTGAATGACCAAAGTCCGACCAAATTGCAAAGTCTCAACCGAAATGTAATCGCTTAAATTGATAATCGTATGAAAAAAAACATGGTAAATTTGTGCCAACAAGTTCAAAATTTGTGCCAACAAATTTACAACAAATTGCAGTTCTGATGTTTGAATGCACACAACCACACCAAAACGTTATCAAATCTCTTCAGTGGTGTAACTTTACTTTTTTGAACACTTGTCCTCAGGGGAAGTTGGACATAAAAGGTAGTTGCCCTGAGTAAAATTCACTTGCCATCAGACGACGGCCACTGGGGTTGTACGGAAAACCCGTATATTATAGAACTAAGTTCGATAAAGATTAAAGTAAAAACTATAATTGAAAAAAAAAAACAGAACAACAACTAAATTTCCATGTGCTCGCTATAAAAGACCCCGTGCAAAAGACCCCCGGAGCTAAATCCCCGGGTAACTATAACGTCCAATTTCATACACACTTCCCCCGATTAAATGACGCATGTCAGTTAAAGGGTATGGGCAATGAAAATTGCTTCATCTATCTTATTGCTTCGTCTGAAAGAGCATGAAAAAATAAGCCGATTGGCCGTTTAATGCTCTATTCTATCTCATCTAGTTCCGAAGTTATACGCAAA